GTATTGTTTTACCTGTTCCTGGCTACCAGACATAAGCTGCTGGAAGGCATCTTCCCTTCCGATTACCCAAGGAGTAGATTTTCACTGCTGATGGGGATATATTATTTGATATTTATTGCCTAATTTATTTCTGGACCATTATGCGGAATGTGCAATTGCAGTGCCTTGTTTTATGAGGGTTTTTTTTTTTTTTTTTTTTTTTGATTTATGGAACACAAGAAGGCAGTTGTTGTTCTGGGAATATGAATGCACAGAAGGAACCTTTTGGGCCGGGGAAGGAACTGCTGCTAATTAAAATGCTGCTTTATCGTCACATTGTCTCTTGCTTTGTGCTGCCTGGGATTGCCTGTGATGCCTGTTAATAGGGCCKGGTGTTAAACCCTGCAGGAGCACATCAGCTGATGAGCACGCTTTGCTTTCCTTCCTGCCCTGCTCACATTTTGGGGTGCATTCAGCTTTGTRTTCAGGGAAGGGGAGGCGATTTGCAATTCCCCCTCTCCTCGTGGCAATCTAGTTTTTTAGGACACTTGGGAAAGGAATGTGTCATAAACTTTCAAGAGATCCAAATGTGCTTTATTGCCTACGTCTTGTGTATTTTTATGTTGTCGYCATCCTCAACCAACCATAGAAAATGTGGGAAGCACAGACTCTCTGTACAAAAACCTCTATTTTTTTATTTTTTTTTTTTATCAGCTTGGTGGAGGTATCAGCTGTCCAGCTCTGCACCACCCTAAATCCCTCTGGAAGCCTGTCAAAACATTCCCATTGTCTTCGCCACCTTTCATTCCCACATTATCCTCAGATCTGTGTTCAGCAGTGGCAAAGCAAATAAACAGGGAAAAATCTGCTGTTGACCAGAGCTCCTTTTCCGTTTTGAGTCAYGGGCGAGAGCAAAGGGAGTCTCTAAGCCACGTCCCCGCTGGCCAAACACAGACTTCACACACAAAAAAATTCTTCCTGGAGCTATTCATTGCTCAGATCAATAGTGTTTTTTTTGGTTTTACACCGTGGAGGAGGCGTTTTTGAGGGAGCCAAGTGTTTAATTGCAGAATGTCTTTGGTGGGGTGGTGTTGGGTGTTTTTCTCCCTGAATGCCACTGGGATGGTTATTCCTTTCCTCCAAACCCAAAGGGCACTGGGACAGCGATTCCCAGCAGTTTTTGGGATTGCTGGAGTGTAATTACCCAGGAGAAAGGCAGGGCCTTGCAATACCAACCTCTGTGGAAAGGGCTTTGAATCGTCGGGGTTTTTTGGTGGTAGAAAACCACTGGGGCTTTAAAAGAGGAAGGAAAATGGGATGCCTMAGTCTTGCCTTGGCCAGCTGTTGTTCTCAGAGAGGTTTCCATGTTTCCATTGCTCTTTTTGGCTCCTGAGCTGGGCTTCCTTCAAGGAGGATCTGCCATGGGGTCGATGGAGCCCCTTCCAACAGAGCAGCTGTGCCTGGGAAGTTCTCAAGTCCAGGTTTACCCCTGGTTTTGGTAATTCCTTGAGTTTTAAAGTACCTTGGGAAGCAACTTTCTGCAGTCAGCACGGGAACAGCTGGTGAAATGGGATCCTGAGCCTTGTGGCCCAAATCCCAGTGGAGTTTTTGGATTTCTGTGGGATGCTGGGTATGGGACAGGCTCCTGCCACTCGGATTCCCTGTCACCTGCAGTGTCCCCAGGGGAGCCAAAAGGCCATTTCCAATTGCTCGTGACCAGCTGAAATTGCCCATAGCCAGCTCTTTTCCCCATGTCCAGTTATTCTGCAGTCCTGCTGTGGTGAGGGTTGTGCTGTTTTTTGTGGCAGAGGTTTCCAAAAGTGACTGCAGATGCTGGGACCTGTATTTCTATTCATGCCCCTTCAAAACATCATAAAAAAATGTAGTTACATCGCTTTCTACCAGTTGCCTCTTTATTATTTTTGAATATTTGATCCCTCTGAAGTGGCTCAGAGCTCACCATAATCACCAGCAGCATCTGCAGAGGTGTTTTCTGCGTGGAAAAAAACAGTATTAACTGGTAAAACCCCAGTTAATATTGCCTCATCCTTATTTCGAGTCTGCTTCTGCAGGGTTGCTGTGCCCAGCCTCTGTTAGCACAGCCTGGCTCTTAAAAAAGTAATAAAATAAAAAGCTGGTGCTCATGTACCGTGTGTTGTTCCACATTTAGGAGCAGTGATGGTATAAAATCAAACTCTTATTGGACTTGCTAATTTATTGGCAGCAACTGCAATGACATAAAATGTACATAAATATGGATTAAACTCTTTATTACTCTATTAGTCACCGTGATGGTAGCCAGGTTCATTAAAAGGAGTTACTCATTTTAAATAACTTGCAGTAATGTGCTATTTTTTTTTTTCTTTTAAGAAATATAGTTCAAATATTCATAAACCTGTGGAGCGTGCCATTTATTAGCTCCCGCTCCTCTCTGCTCTCCTGAAGTGGATTTAATTGTCCTGGATTTCTTTTGAAGTTCTTGCTCTGTTTGAATTTTTTTTTTTTTTTTTTGTGAGATCATGGTCTTCCCTCCCCTGCCCCACAGATACAAAACGATGCTGTTCTAAAAATGAAAAAGGGAAGCGATTCACAGGTCAGCTGAGAGAGGAGTGATGCTGATATTTATTGAGACTGAAGTTGTGTTTTCCACCCTGGTTCTGGTCCAGATGTTGGGGAGAGCTGCCCCCACCTCGCACCTGGAGCAGGGTTTGGAGCAGGATTGGGGTCAATCCTCCCTCCCAGCTGACCCCACTGAGCTTTTTTCTGGTGTGTAACTCATGGGTGGATGGGGCAGGGTTTGAATGTGGCTCATCTCGAGTGTCTCGGTGCCAGGGAGGGGACAGGAATTGTGGGGAGGTGGCCCCAAGCCTGGCACGCTGCAGTGGGGTGAAAGCAGAGCTCATTTTAAATAAAGGGGTGCCCTTTGTAAACTCAGATTTGCCCTTTGTAAACTCAGATTTGCCCTTTGTAAACTTTGTAATTGTTCTGTACATTCAGGGTATTTTTTAGGGTAAAGGATCACTCTTGGAAAGGCCTGGGGACAATCCAGGCTGTCCTCTCTGAGTGCTGTTTGTCCCCAGCTCTGTCCCCAGCACCCCACAAGTGTGATATCCCACCTTGATGTCCCTTTGGATGGTTTGGGACAGCTCTGGAGGGGCTCAGCTGCCACAGTCCTCCCTCCCTCTCTGAAACACCCCACCCTCCTGCCACAGAGGCACAAAACTCCGTTTTCTGTGGGGTTTCAGATGGAGGGTGGGGAGCGCTGTCAGAATTATTTAAGGGATTCATAACCGAGAGTTGGTTTCTGTTTCTCTGCTGAGAATTCCCCTCCCTCCAGCATCTCCAGCACCACTTACCAGCCACTATCCCTGCAGCAGGATTTTTCAGGGTGCCTTTTTAACACAGTTAGGGTGGGGAAAGGGGGAGATTTATATGAATTAATATATAATTAATATAGGGTTGGGTGAAAAGTGCAGARTTTTCAGATGAGGGGCTGCTATAGCACAACAAACCCTGTGCCAGCTGTGACCTGCTGGTGCTGGGGGAGCTCCTCTCCTCCTATTTTGACTTTTTAGGGTTTTTTTATGACCTCTTGGAGCCAAGAAGATGTTAAAAGCAGTGTGTTCTCTGTCTGCACCACAGAGTGCATGGAGCAATAACATCTGGGAGGGGAGAGCATCCCTTGGCAGCTGCACTGGACATCCCATCCCGACCCTACAAACCCATGGGTGGCCGGATGGGACTTCCCATGTTGTGCCAGCTCCTCAGATGGCCCTGTGGCATTGGCTGTGTGCCCAGGGGGATCCTGTGGCAGCTGGGAACATCTCAGCTCCCTGTGTCACCAGTGGCTGGTGGGCGGGGAGGGGAGTGAGGAGAATTCTCCAAAAGAAGGGCGTGCGTGTTTTTATTTTATTTTTTTTATTATTTTAAATTCCCGAGGGAGCAGTAAAGCAAAGAGATTTCTATGTGTCATTGCATGGAAGAAACCAAATTAACCCAGAGTTTGCTGTCACTTTGTCCCCACTGAAGGAGGAGCTGCAAGTGTTCCCTGTGCATTTTTCCCAGAGCCTTTGGGTGCTGCCAGCCTGAAGGAAAATCCCCAGCTCTGGGAAGTT